CCTGGGCTCAAGCGAGTCTCTTGCCTCTGCCTCCCAAGTAGCTGGGACCACAGGTGCCCACCAAAACGTCCAGCTGTTTTTTAGTTGCAGCTGTCATTGTTTGGCGGGCCCAGGCTAGATTCGAACCTGCCACCTTAGTTGTATGTGGCTGGCACCTTAGCCACTTGAGCCACAGGCACCGAGCCAGCAGTATTAGTTTTCTAAGAAAGAAGGCAGGGAGTGTTGAGTAATCAGCCACATTCCTAGACTTCTGAAAGGTAGGTTGTCTTCTACCAAGGTCAAGGAAAGGCTGGCATAATCCATGGCCAGTGGGAGATGGGAGGCCTTTCATTCATCTGAGAGTGTATTACTACACACCAGCTATACGCAGGAGGCACAGAAGCCATTCATATTTGGACTGTGCCCTGCAAGAGTTCCCATCTGGTAGAGGAGGCATCTGCTTGAACAGATAAAGAAGTGGCATATGATAAGTGCTAATAAGGATGTCATGGAAATTGGGGAAGGAACCACATGTAATTCTCCCATCAAGGTATGGGAGGTGGTGATGACCTGATGCTTAAAGGATAAGCCATAGTGACCCCTCTGAGGGGCTGGGAAGGGCATTCCAGGCAGTGAGGACTGCATGTACAAAAGTCGGTGACATCAGAGAACATGATCTGTTAGAAAAGTGTGAAGGTCATTTGTGACTAGAATGGGGGCAGTGAAGAAGATGAGGCAGGAATTGCAGGTGGGGGCCTGTGTTCACCTCCCACAGGGCTGACCCATAATCCCAGTTTCCCAATACCACTTTGGAGCCTGTGATGTCCATGTCTTGGGACTAGCATGTCTGTAGCCATCTGCTTAAAACATTTTATATTTAAGCACTAATTTTTTTTTAGCTTTTAATTTTGACAATATTTTAGAACTTGGAAATACAGGTGTTCCTCAGTTTAGTGAGGTTGCATCCCAAGAAACCAGTCATAAATTGCAAATATCGTATGTTGAAAATGGGCATTTCAAAACAGCACAATAGCCAAAGAAATACTGTCAGCGCAGTGTACCGTATCAGTGGTTTACCTTTGTGATGGCAAGGCTGCCTGGGGGTAGGGGCTGGCTTCTGCTGCTCAGCATCATGAGAGAATATCCTACCACACGTGGCTAGCCCCAGAAAAATCAAAATCAAAAAATATGAGGTACTGGGTGGCGGCTTGTGGCTCAGTGAGGAGGGCGCTGGGCATATATACCAAGGGTGGTGGGTTTGAACCCAGCCACGGCCAAACGGCAACAAAAAATAGCTGGGTGTTGTGGCAGGTGCCTGTAGTTCTAGCTACTTGGGAGGCTGAGGCAAGAGAATCACCTAAGCCCAAAAGCTGGAGGTTGCTGTGAGCTGTGATGCTACGGCACTCTACCAAGGGTGACAAAATGAGACTCTGTCTCAAAAAATATATATATTTCAGTGTTATGTCCTAAGAGCAAGGGCACCTTCTTACATAGTCTAATGACCCAGATCAGAATATCTTATGCACATCCATATTCAAATTTTATGTATTGTCCCACTAACATATTTTATTGCTGTTTTCTCCCAATCTAAACCTAACTCATGAACTGGCATTAGCTGTTCTGTTTTTGGGCCTGTGTAAGCTGAAAGAAATTGTTTGTCTTTCTTGGCTTTGAGATTTTTGAAGCGAGCAATCCAAGTATGTTCTAGAATGCCCTTCAATTTTGGTTTATCTCACTTTTCCTTGTGATAGATTCAGGTTATACACTTTGGTAAGAGTTCTTCGTGAAGTAGTATTGAGTCCCCAGTGCCTCGTATCAAGAGGCACACGATGTTGGTTTGTCCCAGCTAGCCATGTGATAACTTTGGTCACTTGGTTAAGAGTGTCCACCAGGTTTCTCTGCTATAAAGTTACTATTGTAATCAAGTGATTTTTCTAGGAGATGCTTTGAGAACTTGCATGTATCCAGTACCTCCTCAAGCTTTTACCTTGATGACTATCTAAATCTGTCTTTCCCTCTTTTTTTTTTTTTTTTCTTGGCATTCTACAGTAAGGAAGAACTTTTCTCTGGAACAGGGTCTTACTCTAGTGGGGCCCAGGCTAGAGTGTAGTGGTATCATTGTAACTGGCTGCAGCCTCAAACTCCTAGACTCCAGCAGTTCTCCTTACTCACTTCCCAAGTAACTTGGACTGCAGACATGCACCACCATGCCTGGATAGTTTTTCTATTTTTTTTTCCTGTGGAGATGGGATCTTGCCATTGCTCATGCTGATCTCAGAACATTCTTTTCTTGAGGGATGAACCTCCAAATTCAATTTTACATATTAGCTTTTACCTTCCTGGGCTGGGCCCTTCTTGTCTTCTTCCCCTCCGCTCCTTTCCCTCTTATGGACACCAGATTGATGGTGGCTCTTGGGCTTAGGAGAGGCCTGATTTTTCTTTGAATAGTAACTCAGTTGTTTTTGGCAGGACTGACTCTCAGCGTGGGATTCAATGCACACTGTGTCCGGTCATTGGTGTCTTCCTTACCAATGATCTGAGGTTGCACAGGAATGAGCTTTCTGAGCTCAGTCTGGCCTAACTGAGGACAGTAGTAACAGGGAGCAGAAAGAACTGTGGCTGACCCCTGGTCCAGGCTGCATTTGTTAACCAGTGCTGCTCTTCACCTACCCTACACACAAACTTCACATTCTAGTACATGATCTCATGCAAGCTTGGTTAGCTTTCTTTCCCTCTTGACAAAAAACAATATAAACATGGTCTTAGTGTGACTTTGGTTGTGATTTTGAGTTTAAGGACCTTATTGTGTGTCCTTGGTATCAGGAGCGCCTTATCAGTGTGATTGATCTGAGGCTCTAAAATGGTCTGAGCAACACTGAGAATTCCACATGAAGATCTTCTCTCTCTCTCTCTTTTTTTTTTGGTTGTTGTAGTTTAGCTGGGGCCAGGTTCGAGCCTGCCACTCTTGGTATATGGGGCCGGTGTCCTACTCACTGAGCCACAGGCGCTGCCCACGAAGATCTTCTCTTTAAGGAGATCTTATGGATCTTCTTTCCATTTCTGCTGGTGAGGCTTGCTAGGTAGTGGAGATGTGGGAAGATGAGCTGAGGTTCATGGAGTGCCAGAGAGAGGACTGATGAGAAAAGCCAGGTTTAGGAGTGCATCTGAGTGGTGTGAAGTAGGGAAATGCTTTTCAAATAGTGTGGTTCATTTTTTTCCTTTCCCCCTCCCCTCTCTCTCTTTAGACAGGCTCAGAGCTCAGCCCAGTTGATGGACCTGTTCCAGGTCAGATGGACTCAGGGCCAGTGTACCATGGGGACTCCCAGCAGCTAAGCGCCTCAAGGGCGCCGGTCAATGGTGCTAGAGAGCCCGCTGGACCCAGTCTGCTGGGGGCTGGGGGTCCTTGGCGGGTAGACCAGAAGCCTGACTGGGAGGCTGCCCCAGGCCCAGCTCACACTGCTCGCCTGGAAGATGCCCATGATCTGGTGGCCTTTTCGGCTGTGGCCGAAGCTGTGTCCTCTTATGGGGCTCTTAGCACCCGGCTCTATGAAACCTTCAACCGTGAGATGAGTCGTGAGGCTGGGAACAACAGCGGGGGACCCCAGCCAGGGACTGAGGGCTGCTCTGCTGGCACCGAAGACCTTGACACACTACAGACGGCCCTGGTCCTTGCACGGCATGGCATGAAACCACCCAACTGCAACTGTGATGGCCCAGAATGCCCTGACTACCTCGAGTGGCTGGAGGGGAAGATCAAGTCTGTGGTCATGGAAGGAGGGGAGGCGCGGCCCAAACTCCCAGGGCCTCTGCCTTCTGGTGAGGCTGGCCTCCCAGCACCAAGTACGAGGTCACTCCCCAGCTCTGAGGTTCCCCAGATGCCTCCCCTGGAGGGCCTGCCTTTGTCCCAGAGTGCCCTGAGCATCGCCAAGGAGAAAAACATCAGCCTGCAGACAGCCATCGCCATCGAGGCCCTCACGCAGCTCTCTTCTGCCCTCCCCCAGCCTTCTCATTCCACCCCCCAGGCTTCTTGTTCCCTTCCTGAGGCCTTGTCCCCTCCCACACCTTTTAGGTCTCCCCAGTCTTACCTCCCAGCATCCTCATGGCCTGTGGCTCCCCGTGAAGAGCACCCATCTTTTGCTCCTGATAGCCCTGCCTTCCCTCCTGCAACCCCTAGGACTGAGTTTCCTGAAGCCTGGGGCACTGATACCCCACCAGCAACTCCCCGGAACTCCTGGCCCACACCCCGCCCAAGCCCAGACCCCATGGCTGAACTAGAGCAGTTATTGGGCAGTGCCAGTGATTACATCCAGTCAGTATTCAAGCGGCCCGAGGCCCTGCCTACCAAACCCAAGATCAAGGTTGAGGTGCCCTCTTCCTCCCCAGCCCCAACCCCAGCCCCCCAGAGAGAGTCCTCGGAGCCAGACACCCACCAGAAGGCCCAGACGGCTCTGCAGCAGCACCTCCACCACAAGCGCAATCTCTTCCTAGAGCAGGCCAATGATGCCTCCTTCCCCTCTGCCTCAGAGCCTCCTGCTCCTGGATGGTGGGCCCCACCAACCTCAACTGCCCCAAGGCCTCCAGATAGACCACCCAAGGAGAAGAAGAAAAAGCCCCTGGCACCAGCTGGGGGGCCTGTGGGAACAGAGAAAGGTGCTCCTGGGATGAAGCCCAGTGTCCGAAAGTCTATTCAGATCAAGAAGTCTAGGCTGCGGGAAGCACAGCCCCTCTTCCTGCCTCTCCGGCAGATCATTCTGGAAGGGATAAGGCCCACAGCCTCTGAGGGAGTGCAGGCTCCCCAACCTGCCCTGCTCCCTGCCTCACAGGGCTCTGCTGTCCCCGAACCCCCAGAACCTTCTCTTGCGCTATTTGCACCTAGTCCCTCCAGGGACAGCCTGCTGCCCCCTACTCAGGAAATGAGGTCCCCCAGCCCCATGGCAACCCTGCAGCCAGGCTCCACCGGTCCTCTCCCCCCTGCTGATGATAAGCTGGAAGAGCTCATCCGGCAGTTCGAGGCTGAATTTGGGGATAGCTTTGGGCTTCCCGGCCCCCCCTCTGTACCCATTCAGGACCCTGAGAACCAGCCAACATGCCTCCCAGCCCAGGAGAGCCCGTTCGCTACCCGGTCCCCCAAGCAAATCAAGATTGAATCTTCAGGGGCTGTGACTGTGCTCTCAACTACCTGCTTCCACTCAGAGGAGGGGGGCCAGGAGGCCACACCCACCAAGGCTGAGAACCCACTCACACCCACTCTCAGTGGCTTTTTGGAATCACCTCTTAAGTACCTGGACACACCCACCAAGAATCTGCTGGACACACCTGCCAAGAGAGCCCAGGCCGAGTTCCCCACCTGCGATTGCGTCGGTAAGTCCGCCTGGGTGTCAGGGAAGGCAAAGGGCTGTGGCCTGGTGGGCTTAGATTTCTAGGCTTTTTCATTTTGCAATTATGTACTGTGTGCCAGGTAACACTGGGTCCTGGGAACACAGAAACAAGCTTATAGGCTGGTGGAAAAGACACTGAAATGATGTGATGCTGTGCGGTGTATGCCACGTTAATGGAGGTGGACACAGGTGCTTTATCATACAGATTTAGTTGAAGGAATCATGGGGGACTTACCATAGGAGCTCGTACTTGGGCTAAGCCCTGCAGGACCATCAGGTAGAAAGGACACATTCTAGGAAGAGGGAGTAGCTCAGGCAACAGCTTTGTGGCTGGGGGAGGGTAGAACTTATTTGGACAGGTCTTGATCTGGCAAGAGCAAAAGGAGATGTTTGGGGATGAACAAAAGGTGGCTTGTCATTGGGTGGGTGGGTGGTGTAGGAAGGGGCCAGATGCCCAGGAGCCAAGGTCAAGAGTTTGACTTGACCCCACCGTTGTGATAGTGAACTCATAAGGGTTTTAAAGCAAATGATGCCCTTTCATCTTGTGCTTTTGAAAGATTCTTCTGCCTATGCTAGAGAGGATAGATTGGTGTGGGAACAGTAAGAAAAGTCTTGTGGTGCGCCAGGCAAGAAATGACAAGGATCTGGCCTGGAAGTGCAGGTGGCAGAGGGAGAGTTGGAAGGTCTCTTGGGGGAGGGCCTGTGGAAGAGAGGATGGGACATCTCTGCTTTGGTGGTGGGTGGTGTACCCTGAGAACACAGACTTGGAAGAGAGATGGGGAGTTCCCTTTGAGTGAGCTGAGTTTGAAGCAGCTGAGACTGGACTGGGGTCAGAATGACAGATTTTGAAGCAGTTAGCAGCAAGTAGTGGTGGAAGCAATGATAGGCACGTCAAGCAGCCGAGTCAAAGTCTAAACCTTACCTTCTCGGATGAGAGCAGGGCCCCGGGGCCTGTTAAGTGCCATGCCTTGGAGGAGGTTGCTGATGTGGTGGTAAGCTCTGGGCCCACGCTCAGCTCCCTCACCCTCCTGTTTATGGGGCATTCTGTAAAAGATAGGTGCATTTTAGATGCTGACAGAAAAACATATTGTTGGTGATTAATGTACTGGATTTTTGTGACTTTATAGTACACAAGTGGATTTAGGAAAAGGTCATCTTCTCTAAAATTGTTAAAATATGTAAATATCACATAAATTGTGTGATTTGTTGGGATCTTGTATCCTAGTCAGTGGTGAGGAGCTGGACTAGTCTGTCCACTCCAGCCATCCCAGACTATGAAGGTACAAAGCAGAGGGCTTGATGACAAGAAGTCACTTGGGGAATGAGGAAAAATTGACCCCTGCACTTCTGTCTGGAGGTGAATCGGTATAGAGGGTCCTTCTGGACACTTACAAATGTGCTCTGAGGATATGGCCCCAGTAACCCTGTTCGTTCTTAGACATGACTGGTAATGGTATGCCTTTGAGGGCTCCTTATTTCCCAGTAGATATGGGGAAAGCTTGTTCTGATTGTAAGAATCAGACCCCCTGCTTTTGCTTTTTGTCTATTTGTATGTGCCTGTCCCATGCCTGTTACATCACCTTGTTAGGTGTTTCTCCTTCAGGGTAGGAAATAGCCTTACCTATAGTGCTTAAGTTATAGTTGATCCTTATTTTAATTGTTGAATTTAGTTATGGATATTATGTTTGATCAAACTGGTTTCTATTTTAATTCCAACTCTATCACTTGCTAGCTGGGAGCACTGGGGCACTTTTCATAACCTGTCAATGTCTTTATTTCCTCATGCATGAGATACAAATAGTAATAGTACCTCCCTCTAGGCTGGGCACAGTGGCACAAGCCTGTAATCCTAGCACTCTGGGAGCCTGAGGCAAGAGGATTGTTTGAGACTGGGATTTCCAGACCAGCCTGAGTAAGAGCAAGATCCTATCTCTACAAAAAATAGAAAAAAATTAGCCAGATGTCATGGTTTGTGTCTATAGTCCCAACTGCTTGGGGAGGCTGAGACAGGAGGATCACTTGAGCCCATGAGTTTGAGATTACTGTGAGCAAGACTGCTGCCATGGTGCTCTAGCCTGAGCAACAGAGTGAAATTCTGTCTCAAAAGAAAAGGGCAGGGTACCTACCTCACCAGGGCTGTTGTGAGGATTAGTTACTATCTATGGCACAAAGCCCTGAACAGTGCTTTATCTGTAAAGCACTTGGAAACATGTTGGGCACATAGTGAGGACTTCAGAGTGTTAGCTGTTATCATGCTTGTCAAGTCCAGTAAGGTAAGAAAAAAAAGAAGTAAAAATATACATTTTGTAAAGGAAAAAAATTCTGGCTATTCCTTTAGTCATTTACTCATTACCTAGCCCTGCATATATACTGATAAGGATAAAAATTAAGAGAAGAGGTTCATCCTTGAAGGACTTTGTGGATTAAGTAAGGAGACAGATAAGGAAACAGTCACCCTTGCAACAAGTATCTGCTGACTGCCTACACCTCTAAGGCCTGTGCTGCCATGTGGACGTGGCTAAATTGTAAGCATGACCTCCAGTAACCCCAATTTAGATTGTTATTGTGGGGGGTAATGTTTTATTTAGGAAACCCTTGCTCAGAGCTGCATTTTGAGAACTTGTAGCAAACACAGATGGAGAGAGGCAGGAAGGCAGCTGCTCCAAGGAGCGCATAAGCATAGCAGCAAGGAGCAAGCTTGCAGGATGGAGGACTGGTGCTGCAGGGTGGGCATGAAGCTACCTTGGACTTCTCAGCTTGAAGCCAGTGAGCAAATTGCAGGCAGTAGACTGAGCATCAGAGAAACATAGAAATGGCAGTGTCAGCAGACTGGGAGGGGCAGGGATAGTGGATAGCAGACAGGAGATGAGGGGAGCAGAAGTTCCCATTGCTGCTAATCATCCATTGCTCCAGTTTGTATTTTATTTGTAATTAATCTAAATAAAGTATTTAGGGCAGGTGTGGTGGCTCACACCTATAAACCTTAACCCTTTGGGAGGCCAAGGTGGAAGAATCGCTTGAAGCCAATAGTTCAAGACCAACCTGGGCAACATAGTGAGATGCTGTCTCTACCAACAAAACCAAAACTGGGCGTGGTGGTACATTCTGTAGTCCCAGCTACTTGGAAGGCAGGGTTGTTTGAAGCTGTAGTAAACTCTGATCACACTTTAGCCCAGGCAACAGGGTGAGACCCTGTCTCCAAATAAATAAATATTCGTATCTTATTTCAAGAGTTGGAACCAAACCTACCTTGTATGGTTAGATGTTAAATTATAGAAAAATGCTTAGATGAAAGCTACAGAAACAAATAGTACATAAATGGTCATCTCAGGTTTAAAAACTTTAGAAAAAAGACTAGAAGGAAATGTATCAACAGTCTCTTTAGTCAGACTATGGGTGACTTTTCCCTCATGTTTTCTGAGTTTTATACGGTGAAATATGTATTTTACAATCGAGCTATTTTTTAAGTAGCATAGAAGGATGACAGAGGGTGATAGATAACCTTGCGGAAGGAGACTAGTTAGGAAGGTGTTGAGAACGACAATGATGATAGCATTTATGAAACACTTGTTCTGTTCAGGGCTTTGTGCCAAGTACTTTATAGTCACCACCTCATTTAATCACTCTTAATAGCTACACAAGGTGAGCACTATCAGTGGCTGCATTTCAATGATGAGGAAACAAAAGTTAGATTAGTTTACCAAGGCCATACCAACGGTGAGAGTGAGATTTAGATCTAGGCAGCTGGACTCTTAACCAGCGTGCCATACTGTGATTGAAATGGGTTAGTTGGGAGACAAGTCCTACTAAAACAAGGGTAGTAGAATGAAGAGTCAAAAAGAAGGGATTTTCTCTGAAACAGTTTCTGAAGGGCCTGAGGTTTGCATTAGAAAAAGCCATCTTGTTTTCCAGAATTGTCTGGACAGGTGCTTCCTTAGCTGGCATAAGCAGAATTTGAATCTCTGAATCTGGCCTCAGAACAAGGCTTGGAAAATAAAGGTGCTCTCTGTGGGGTTATTGTTTTGTTTGTTTCGGTTGTTGTTTAGCTTGCCTGGGCTAGGTTCGAACCCACCAGCGTAGGTGTATGTGGCTGGCGCCCTACCCACTGACCTACGGGTGCCGCCACTGTGGGATTATTATTAGATGGGACAATCCCTCGTTCCTTACTAGTGATGGCCAAGAGAGTTGCAGAATAATATAAAGAATTGTTCATAGAAGTGACAGTAAAATTTGGAGACTCAGTTGGTAATAAACTATGGGAATAACTTTATAAAAACACAGTACATTCTTTTTGGGGGGAGGAGGAGCAGAGTCTTACTTTGTCGCCCTGGGTAGAATGCCATGGCATCATAGCTCACAGCAACCTCAAACTCCTGGGCTTCAAGCAGTTGACTTGTCTCAGCCTCCCTGGTAGCTGAGAGTATAGGCCCCCACCACAATGCCCTGCTGTTTTTAGAGATGAGGTCTCCTTGATCAGGCTGGTGTCAAACTCGTGAGCTCAGGCAATTCTGCCTCGTTTTCCCAGAGTGCTAGGATTCCCTGAGCCTTCGAACCTAGCAAAATGTTGTTACAGCAAAAAAAAAAAAAAAAAACCTATTCAAGTTATTTGGTAATTTTTTGCCAAATCAGCAATTTTGGCTAATGTAGGCATCGCCAGGTAACTAAAACCCAAACACCAAGAGCATTGTTTTACCTTTATGTTAATTAAATTATGAGTTTCTGAAGGGCTGGAAGGGATTCGTATGGATTTTTTCTCAGAATCTTAAAATACTGGAAGTAAAGGCACCTCTTGAAACTTTAAGACAGTTACATATAGAAGATATGAGAGGGAATGCTTTTTTGTAAAAAGTATAATAGCATGATATTTAAAGTTTTGAGAAACTTTAACACAAGTTGACTTTCTGTATTACTGCAGGGGAATGTGTGAGTGTGGATATCCTCCATATATTTTGAAGCACACTTTGGAGATCCACCTAGCTATCC